CTTCTATGGCATCGTGAAGAACCTTTATTTTTAAGAGTGTAAGTCAATAGGTGAAGACCAGGGAGCATGTAAACGCAACCAACATCACAGGCCCAGAGCTTCAAAAAAGAGATTTTGAGGTGTCCAGACACAAACACAGCTGCCACCATCCAACATTTCCTTCAGCCTGAGAAGATTTCCTCTTCATTTCACCACACGTGTCTTTTTAGGATGCATTCAGTGAGGAATAAGAGCGTAAGCAGCAGAGTATGTCTTCTCATCCCAGATCCATGCAATATTGGGCTTGAACGAGTGACCTCTGACCTTCAGGGGAGGATTGACTTTTTTTTCCCCATGTCAAAGACTTCCTCCAATCCCAGTTTAACATGTAAAGTCATTATAGGTTTGTTGGTTTGACTTCCTAAAGAGTGTAAACAAGAGAGTTTCAAACACTGTTACAGCCTGATATAGCAACATTAGGTTTGCATTTCCATTGGTTTACTCTAGTGGTAAGTTAAAAACTTTTGATTTAATCTGTAATTGGCTAAAACAAGGTATCTTACCTTCTAGAACAGCCTCTGCTTTGGTCTGCATATTTTGCCTTACAATACTGTCTTCTTGTTAGGCAAATTACTCTGTTTTGTATCAAAGAGAGAGATGCAGATGATACAGATGCACATTAACTAAAGTAAAAGATGCATGCAGTCTCTAGTTTTAGAAACAGAGGTCAAATGTATGCAAACACTGCAGTAGTGAAGAGAAGGATGAGACACTGGTTTAGTAAAAAGTCTACATCTGAAACTGTTAAATAAGAAGAATAGGTAAAAATGGTTAATGCTTTGGATTTGACATTAATCATTAGAAAACAAGTATTATAGAAAGCATGAGATGAAATCTCACCTGAATATTTCATCAACCTTGCATCATACATCCTTGATGAATTCATTTATAAATTTGTTTTTCTTGGGATTGAAAATATAATATAAGAATACTGTGTTTCTTGATGTTTTAACCATGATGCTTGGAAAAATAAATAAATAAAAAACGTCAAATAATGAGCAATAAGTCAGAGCTGGAAAAAAATAAACTACAGTATACTTCACGGACGCTTGGACCGCATAATTCAAGGTTTTTTCTCTCTCACTGGCCTTTCTTTTGAGCTTTTTATCAATAGTCTATTTGACCGTTTGTTTATAACATTTTTCTTTCCAGCTAAACATCTGCATCACAAAAATATAAACAGCCAAGACTGTGTTATTATCTGTGAAGCCAAAAACCCTGATTATTATTATTATATCTGAAATAACACTGTTGCAGTTTAAACGTAAAACAGATACAGTCTCACTAAACTGAAAACCAGTAAAAAAAAGTACTTATAAACTTAAGACAGTAATATAAAACTTAATATTGCACATATCACAGATTACTACTTTCAGATGGGGATTTAAGTGCTTGTCATTAAGCCCTCTGCAGGCCAGAGTTATGAAAGACTCAAGCTAATAATTAACCGTAAGAGTCTCACATTAGGTGGGTAATGATGGCCTATTTCATGTTTGACCGATCATATTTCTGTGGTGTGAAACTAACAGCTACTACAGTCTTTCCAATTCCCAGTCCCACATTGCCCTCAATGTAATTCACTTCAGCTGTCAGATTTTTGTTTCTCCCTGTTGAAAAAGTGCACATAAGCTGTATTGATCTAACATATGTGAGCTGATTTACATGTGTTAACTGCATTTTAAAGTTTCTTCATCTGGGGTTTTATTTTAAAACATTTTCAACTGGACTTACCTTTGAAATATCTAATGTTTGGCTTCATCAGTAGAATAACTGTGAGATATCTGTTGAATTTTATCCTGTCAACACTTTTTGTTTTTACCTGAAAGTGTGACGATTACACCTAAACTCTGGAAACTAAATACTGTAAAAACATGCAATGATTATGTATGGAAAACATTCAGCTGCTTGTAATTTGACAGTGTGCCACATTTGAATAACAGATGTGTCTACTGGCAGCTATTCTTGCCACAACTGTTTTACATTATCTTTTTAACTTACATTATGCTGTACATTTGCATTTCATTATTTATCTAATTGCATGTAATTCAGTATATTTTATTGTTATTCCATTATATGTTGCATATTCCACATATTTAATTTTGGATAATGCATTTTATCATGCAGAAACGGGTAAAAAGTACATGATTATATTGCAATGATTTAGTGTACCATATGTCATCATGACCTGTTCCAACATGTTTGCCCAAAACTATATGACTAAAGATTCATTTTTTTGTAAAAATATTGATATAATTGAGGGAAATATGAGGTAAAAACAGACCAAAAAATGTGGGATGCTGAAGATAATATCAATGTGGAATGGACAAAAAGAAAACACAAACCTTTTCATTTCCTTTCCTGATATCTGCAAATTGCAAAAATACAAAATCTTAATATATGTTACATATAAACAGTGCAAACACCTGTCAGCTTGCAGCTGTCATTGTGATTATCTTATACCCTGTGAAACATCCACAAATGTGCACTGATAATGCAAGCAAACCCATCAATCATCTCTTGCTTTTGTTCTGAAGTTTTATGACCTTCTGCTGGCCAATCACCTTCTGTTCAAGAGTGGTGGGTGGTTGATAAAAGCAGAAACATCAGAGCAGTATGATTCAGAAGAGGACTGCATCCACTGGCTGATCCAAAAAACACATTGCAGCTGTAGCTGCCACACGTTCAGGGAATTTATCCAGCCGGCAAATTTGGAAACCGTCCGTGAAGGTAAGCACATTCATTAATTTTTAATATGTGCTGCTATCATTAGTTATTCTAATTACAAGGTGAGTCACTGGACGTTTATGCAAAGGAGAGTTACATAATAGTGCAATTGAATCAACACTGCTGCAGAAAATGTTAGAGACAGATTGTGCCAAATGCACAAACAACAAGAACACAGTGACATTTTGTACAGTAAAGAAGACCCTGAAAATTATTAGAGCTTTTGGGTGGCAAAAAAACAACATCATCTTAAGAATTACAATTCGAGGAAGCTTACTATCAATTAAATCCAGCATACTGGTTTATCTGTTTCTCATCCAAGTCAAGCAAGGCGGAGGCAAAACAAGCAGGAAACTGAGAGGAAGAGAGAGGTGTTGGCTCACGCCACCCTTGTATCTTTATTGCTATAATTTGGTTTAGATTCTCTGTACAAAGGATGCACTGATTCCAAGGGGGATGCGCTCTAGAAATGATAACCTCTGCTTACAAGAGCAGCTTAAACTAGACTGGAAAGTCTGAAAAACTCCAACTGCATTGGAGTTATACCAAACTCTACGTTGGCATTACTAAGTCTGAGAATTTAAAATAGGTTGAAGTTCAGGATGGATGGATGGATGGATGGATGGATGGATAGATAGATAGATAGATAGATAGATAGATAGATAGATAGATAGATAGATAGATAGATAGATAGATAGATAGATAGATAGATATTCATAGTTTGAAAGCTCTATGACAAGTTTGTGTTAGAAATGTCGGTCTCAGAAGACGCAGCAGAAACTTAAAGAGTAGATCAGCTAAACTAGCATGAATTTCTATGTTGGGCTAGTCTAGTTTGAGTAACTGGTGGACAATCAAACCAGTAAAAATAATTGCTGGTGAAGTGGTTTAAGGTTGTTGGTTAAGGTAGCTAAGAAGATTGATGGGGACACCAGCACACTTTTGTTTGAATTAGTACAAAAAACAAGAAAACTAAAGTCATGTGACATGTTCTAAGAGTGGCTTGTTCATTTTGCAGTAGCCAAGATGTGGTTCTCCTGGATGCTGCTCCTGGCTTCTCTAGCTACGTCCACCGCTTCGTCAAAAACACGTGAGTGGGCTCATCACGGAGCTGTGATGTTTGCCGATCTCACTCCCCAAGAGATGAACGCAGTGAGAGACTACCTCCACTCCTGCAGCGAGCTGGGCCTCACCTCGGCACGAGACAAGTCCCTCAAGAAGAACAGCATCCTCCTTATGGAGCTGCACGTTCCTCGCAAACACGAGGCGCTCCGTGCGCTGGACAGAGGACAAGCGAGACCTTCACGGAAGGCACGTGTGGTGGTGCAGTTCGGCAACCAGGTGGTGCCAAATGTTACGGAGTACATCGTCGGACCCCTACCTTTCCCGAGTTCTTACCAGGTGAAGACGTTTAAGGGTGACCGTCCAATCCGTTTCGAGTCCAGGCCGATCTCCACTGTGGAGTACGAGCACCTGAATGGGGTTTTGGAGAAAGTAGCAGCTAAAGCAAACAAGATTCTGCAGGAGAGCACCGGGTTTACTTACGGCAACTGCACTAATCGTTGCTTGACCTTCTCGGACATCGCTCCTCGTGGGTTGGCGCCAGGAGAGAGGAGGACGTGGATCATGCTGCAGAAGTTTGTGGAGGGCTACTTCATCCACCCGGTTGGCTTAGAGGTCCTCGTTAACCACAAAGATTTGGATCACGAAAAGTGGATGGTGGAGAAGGTGTGGTACAACGGCCAGTATTTCGACAGCATGGAGGAACTTGTGGAAAAGTACGAGAAGGGGACGATCAATAAACTCAAGCTGCCGGAGCATGATGAGGAGGATCTTTTCTCAACCTATATTCCTCGTGGACACATGAACACACGGACGAACATCCATGGAGCAAAGCTTGTCGAACCCCAAGGCCGCAGATTCCAGGTGGATGGGAACTTTGTGGAATATGCCGGATGGTCCTTTGCATATCGGGTTCGCTCTTCGGCAGGATTGCAGATCTTTGATCTTCGCTTCAACGGGGAGAGGATTGCTTATGAGATCGCACTGCAGGAAGCCATTGCCTTCTACTCCGGAGATACTCCAGCTGCCATGCAAACCAAGTACATTGATGCCGGGTGGGCGATGGGAACCTCTGATTATGAGTTGTCACCTGGGATAGACTGTCCAGAAATTGCTCATTTCGTGGACCTTTACCATTATTATGACACAGACAAACCTGTGCATTACAGAAACGCACTCTGCATCTTTGAAATGACCACTGCACTTCCTCTGAGGAGACACTATAATAGCAACTTCCAAGGAGGCTACAATTTCTATGGAGGCTTGGAAAACCATGTTCTGGTGATCCGAACTACGTCTACGGTGTACAACTACGACTACATCTGGGACTTTGTCTTCTACCAGAATGGCGTAATGGAGTCTAGAGTGAGTGCGACTGGGTACATCCATGCAACGTTCTTCACGGAAAATGGATTGAACTATGGAACCAGGGTTTACAACTATGTTCTTGGCAACTTGCACACCCATCTAATTCATTACAAAGTGGACCTTGACATTGCAGGTGAGTTTAGCTCTTGCTTATCGGTGTACAATCTGAACTCAAATAACAATCCATTTTGAGATCACAGTGCAAATTACAATGCAACAGAGGGCAAATATGAGCTAAATGCATAACTCCTTTTGCTCTCTTTTTGAACAGGGAGGGACAACAGCTTTGAAACCATTGATCTG